GGCCCGGGTCGACTCGGCTTACCTTTAATCCGCCATTGGGATCTATAACACCTCAGCCCCACAATGGTTGGGGTCGAGGTAAGAAAGAGCTATGATTATGGCACCGCTTGACCGGAGAAATAGCACTTGCAGACTTTAAACGAGAATATAAAGACAATTTTAGTGAAACCTATAGAAAGAAGATGATGAGTTTGTACACGGTGAGTCATTGACACGCAAGCGGGGAAAAACACTAAAATTCCTAAAACAAAAACTTATAAATACAGTTAAAAATCCTTGCTTGTATGGCAAATTAGAGGCAGTCCTAGCTGATATCTGTTCCGATTGGTAAAGGAGTTACGGTGGATGGATTTTTTTGAAGTGTGAGAGTGTGTCTTGAATTTTCTACCACGGAAAATGTGAACCTTTGGAAATTTGGGAGGGGGGGTGCGTACCCGTCGTACCACCCCTACCCCCTGGTACGGGCCTGATAGGATAAGAATCGACTTTGTCATAGAAAACGACTACCAGTGGAATTATATAGGCTGTAATGTAACTTTTAATTCTTCAAAACATACACGGTGACGTAATAATGACGTTCAGCGTAGAAAGGATGACAAACGAAACGTATACAACGTTGAGTCCAAAATTGGAGCAACTCACCCTCCCATGCAGCTTCCGTTTCACAATATACAACGTTGAGTCCAAAAGTTACCTGAACCGACTACAACCGAGCGACTCATACTTCCAGGTAGCTCCTGTTTCACCGCAATCGGAATAGTGGCCTGGCCGCTTTTTCTCAATACTAGGCCTATTACTAATTTTAATACAAATATACTGATACCTATATTATGTGAATCCACCATGCGTTTGTTTTTTAATTTTAAGCAAAGACTTAACAGACCTTGGTTTAAGTACACTTCAAATTTTGTTTCAATCTTTAATTTTAGTAATTAATATTGAAAATGTGTAAAAGTATAAATATGAAATAACAATTTCATTTTATTTTTTTTTCATTATTCAACATTTATTAGAACATTTATAAACATGCATGGAAATTAAACTAATCAAAGTTACAGAAAGGCCTCCATAGAAAATGGACAAGGAACAACATAGAAACTCTTACGAGTCCATCACTGTCGCCCCTCTTCAAAAAGTGAACAGAAAATATACACCCTTTCGTATAAATAAGATAAACATAATATTTCTTCTCTGATTATTTACAAATGTAATTCAATTCGATAACAATTCCCTAATTATTTCTATTATTAAAATGACAGTTGATATATTTATCATTATTGGAGCTTCCCTTAGTTTTGGTATCCGACGTGCATCGGGTTTCATAAAGGTCAGTTTAAGTTTTGATTTCAATTGCTTTAATGTGTTTGCAGATGTTATAATTAACTACTATAACATGTTGGGGGGTGGGAGCCGGCCAAACTGTAACCATGACACAAAGGTATATTGGTCAAGCCGGCCCTAATTACTTGTAATCAAAACTTATACCCTTTAAAAGTGAGGGACGTTAATTTTTGTAAAATATATGCATGTGCTATTTCCTGGCAGAGGAGCCATTTTTTTAACCATGGTGGAGCTGAGAATAGTAGGATCAACTAACTGTTCTGCCCCTTGTGGGGAGGGGTAGAGACCTAGGGGTTTACCACCTATTTTCGGGCATATATTTCCAAAATTCCACCCCACCCCCCTCAGCCACAACCATGGTGGGGTATAACTAGACTCTAATTTCATGCTAATTTTAAATGTATTGGCTGCCCCTTGGGGAAAGGGTGGGGAAGGGGTACCAGCTATACTAGTTACCAGCTGCTATTTCCGGGCATTCAGAGGTGCCAAAAAATGTTGCACACCAACTATGTTGAGCCTGGGGTGGATATGTACCCAGACCCCACTAACTTTAAACCCTGTACCCGTAGCGGTCTGTTTAACAGCCAAATAAGTTTAGCCCCTCCACACCCCGCTCTTATGTCATGGCCTGACTACTTGCAAAATGCTTCCGACGACTGTGCGTAACGCGAATTTGAAATTCCCCACAGTATAAAAGTTTTATTATCCATGACGATTTCAGAGCTTTACACGTAGGCCTATATTACTATGTACCGTACTTGAATGGGTTTCGTAGTTATTATCGAAGCATTTGATGTCACCTTTTTAAAACAACCATGACACATTCGTCGTAGGCCTACCTTGATATAGGGAGACTCATGGGCGCAGATCATCGGGGGGGGGGGGGTAGGGAGATAATTTTTAAGGAGAGTTTGTCCCCCCACGTCACTCGACGGCAATGTAATTTCATAAGTGAAGATGGTGCCTGAAATTTGTTGAAATGAACTGCATAAATGACCCGGGTTTTAACGAAACATTTAATTTTCTATGGTACAACACACATAGGCCTATTAATTAGATAGGCCTATTTATGGTTACGGAAAATCGCTGATAAAAAAAAGATCATGAGAAATAATGGTGATGTGATGAGTGAATATTACATAAGAGTGTCATTTCCGGCCATCTAGAGTTACTATTTCCTTAAATTTTCCCACCCCAACCTCAACTATAGTGGGGCTAAGGTGGGTGTGGTCTCACGAAATGTCTCCACCCCACCTTTCAAAACAATCATATTGTAACAAAATATTTTGCTATATCTATATCACACAAAATACAATCAGAACTTTTTTCTCCACCACAATCCATGTACAGCTGGTTTGGATAATTATATTTCCATGAAAATGTCCACATTCTAATCCTTTTTCCCGGATTTTTGTTCCTATTTAATTCCAGATACTTTTAAGAATTGTTAAAATTGTTATTTGTTGTAATTTTCAGACCTGTACCACACAGTTTTTTTTACAATACGAACAAAGACTATATATTCATACAAGATACAAGATTCTTTTATTGTCACTGGTACATAAAATACAAGCAAAAATTCGTCTTCCCGATGCAAAAAAAAAAAATTAGTATAAAAGTTAGACATATAATAATACATTAATCAAGGACATAAATAAAACAGAAAATACAAAATGATACAATTGTTTACAAGAGTTAGTTACTGAAGTTTATCTATTAAAATCATCATTGTACATATGGATTGTGTGGATATTTGATATGGATACAACGGTTTGAATAAAGGCCAACTCAGACAGCGTCGGCCGACGCAGCCCGACGCGATTTGTTGTCGCGTCGGGTCTGTGTGAGTTGAACGCAGACGCGATGGTGTACGTCGGGGGCAGTCGCGTAGTAGAATATTAAACAGGTTTAATATTTCTCACGACGGCTTAAGACTGTCCCCGACGATAAATCGGGTCGGGCTGCGTCGGCCGACGCAGTCTGAGTTGGCCTTAAGTCTAAATAATGTTTGATTACATAGCATTTTGAGTTCCTACACATGTGGCCTAAAAGGTAAAGCTAATACAGTACTTGAAAATAGCTCTAAACATTAACGGAAAACAAAAACGGCTTGGCCTATTAAAATACAATCAAATCACAGTTAGATCTTTGTATTGCTTCCTACTATGAGTTATTTAGCACATGGAGTTGTTTCGTTTCGTTCATTTATTCTTTGGACTATGATGCAAAACAAAATGGTCGGGACAGCTTAAGATAATCAATCACTAACTATTGCAAGTCAACTGTCCCCTCAAAATAAACAAATTTCGATAAAAATAGACAAAATTCACAAAAACAATCACAAATTACAGTAAGAAAATCAATAACAAAAAAAAAGCTTGATTCAAAGTAAAGTTTACAATTGTAAAAAAAAATTAAAAATAATAATAATAATAAATAGAAAAAAAAGTTCCAGAAAATAAGATAAAAATTAGTTGTGGTTCTATCTTCGGGGTTCTAAGGCGGCCTCCATTATATATCTTACATAATATTTAGCGTTGAGTGGGTGATTATCGTCTGGCGGTTGCTTTGTTTATGGTTTGGTTTCTACAAACATATCAATATGGAGACCATCCGCCAAAACACGTTGCAGGTTAGAGATTATTGAAAAAAAACATTTGTTGTAGATCGCCTTATTTCATTCCACTACCCGCCCCACCCCCACCCCACCCCACTAACCAAGAAAATCCATATCAACATTCATTTTAATCGAACTCAATTTATTGTAAACTAGCAGAAGACTTGTATTAGGCCTTCTTTTCTTTAACACTACCACCAATTAACCATTTATCTACTTTATGACCACTACCACTATTGTACACTTTGACCTCATGTTTTTGTGGTATATTAAGTTTAGGATGAATATTTTATACACCGTACTAATTTGAATAAATGCTCCCCCTCCCCTTCGAATAAGCTCCTCCTCTGAGCCTCATTTAGAATAAACGCCTCCTTCGAATAAACGCCCCCTAAATGACTGTAAACAAATCAAATAAAAACACATTATATTAATGCTCTACTCCAGTAGAATTACATTTTGTCTAACATGATTGGGATCAACAAGTTATTATTATGATTACGCAATAATAATTTTGTGTTGTGGTTCCACATTTACAGTGAAATTATTGGGCGTTTATTTGAGTATATATAGACCTACGTATCCATTTTACACCAAAAAATACAAAAAATAAACGCATCCCTCAAAAAAACGCCTCCCTCGAAAACTCTTCTCAAATAAATACGTTAAGTCGGTACTTTACATAAAATGTATAGGCCTACATTATGTTTACATATTTGCTACGTAAGTCTCATAACGAGACATAGTTCAGGCCCGTAGCCAGGTTCTTCCAAGGGGGGTTTTCTGGGCGTGAGGTCCACGGTCGAAGCCCTAGTGGGGTCGGCGAAACCCCCAAAACAAGGGGATTTTTGTGCTTAATGGGTCTAAATAATGCTATAAAAGCAGATATGTTTGAAAAGGTCTTTGTCTGGGTGGGCCTACAGTGCATTAGTTGGGTTGGAGGACTTATTTGGGAAATTTGGAAGAGGGGGTTCGCCAGAAAAGAGGGGGTTTGCTACAAAAGGGGGATTCTCCCGAACCATAAACACCACCCCCCCCTGTAGTTATGTAGATAATGTTTATAATTCTTTAGAGTAGGGTTGGAGCCAGCGGGGGTGGGGCGGGGAGCCAGGGCCCCGTCGGGGAGAGCTGCCCCCCCCCCATTCCCCACCCCTGTAGGGGAGAAAAACCACAATTCATCGTGCAAATCATAAAGCCACCCCTGCTTTGAAGGGTTTTGTCAATTAGAAAAGTGATTAAGCTTATCTTGGCCTACCTTTTATATTTGAATGCACCGTTAAAATGTCACACATCTGCCGCTGAAAATAATCCTATCTATATTAATCTAAATCACTAGTCCTGCACCAATGTCATTAAGTGTTAGCATATAAATTAGTAGGCTCTAATATTATATTGCAGTTTTTTTTTCATTCATAAGAGATTACAGTCCCCTTTAAGGTACTTCTATACATATTCCTATATTAGGGTTAATTTTACTTTGTATAGTAATTTGTAAATATAAATCTGTATTGATCAATTTTATTGATGGAGGGAGGTTATTTAGGCTTATAGGCCTATGGTTACATACAGGCTATCTTTGATATCGATTTTCACGTAGGCTTATGACATTCTGAAATTGTAGAGATGTGTTTATTGAAGCTTTATATACATATAGGAAAAACATAGTGACAGGTATAAAGTGGGGATGTGCAGAAGGTGTCTGCCACTGTCACACGTCACCCCATAGTTACATGACCCTTGATCGACGAACCAATAACATTCTGTTCCACCACACGTGGGTGCTTTGTACACGTCACGTGTTCTGAAGTGTGTTCCATCCCATCCACATGTCTTGGAGCAAGCTGACCAATCACTCCACGAGGTCATAACACAATCTTGGATCTTGCACTCACAGCACTCTCCATTATATCCGGATGGACACTCACATTTGTCACTTCGGTAACTTAGAATTCCGTTGTTGTAACATTCTCGATTACACTCATTTCTCTCGATGAATTTAGAACATTCGGTTCCACCACACGTGGGCGCAATGTCCACATCACGAGTTCTGAATGTTGTTCCAAGTGGCCCACACGTGTGCGTGCACGCTGACCAATCGCTCCACGGGGCCATAACACAATCTTGGATCTTGCACTCACAGCACTCTCCATTATATCCGGATGGACACTCACACTTGTCACTTCGGTGACCCAGAATTCCGTTGTTGTAACATTCTCGATTACACTCATTTCTCTCGATGAATTTAGAACATTCGGTTCCACCACACGTGGGTGCAATGTCCACATCACGAGTTCTGAATGTTGTTCCAAGTGGCCCACACGTGTGCGTGCACGCTGACCAATCGCTCCACGGGGCCATAACACAGCCTTGGATCTTGCACTCACAGCAGTCTCCATTGTAGCCGACTGAACAGATACATTGGTCACTACTCAGACTTCCATTGTTGTAACATTCTCTATTACACTCGTTTTTGTCGATGAATTTAGAACATTCGGTTCCACCACACGTGGGTGCAATCTCCACATCACGCGTTCTGAATGTTGTTCCAAGTGGCCCACACGTGTGCGTGCACGCTGACCAATCGCTCCACGGGGTCATTACACAATCTTGGATCTTACACTCGCAGCACTCTCCGTTGTAGCCGGCTGGACAGAAACATTGGTCACTACTCAAATTTCCGTTGTTGTAACATTCCCTATTACAATTCTCTTTCTCGGAGATTTTCTCAGAACACGGGGCTCCACCGCAAGTCGGTTGCTTGGCCACATCACGTGTTCTAAATCGCGTTCCTTGAGGACCACACTCCCGAGTGCACGCTGACCACTGACTCCACGGGGTCATTTCACAGTCCTGTATCTCACATTCGCAACACTCTCCGCCGTAGCCACTTTCACAAATGCATTCTTTAGTATAATTTGATGGCATTCCTCCATGATAACACTGAACATTACAAGCTCTTTCCTCGATAGCTTTCAGAGAACATTTTTCTTCCAAGTCAACATAGTCATTCTCTTTCAGCATTACTCTATACTGGATACCTGCGCCACAATCTTTAGAACAAGGCATCCATTCAGTCCACTGATGACATTCATAGACATGGTGGTAGACTCCACAAACTATAAAACCGACTACTACTAGTAGGAAGAATAGTAGGCCTAGTACAATTAGCACAATCCTCAATTTTCTGGAGTTGTTTTTATAATCCATTTTGAAGTTCAAATCAGATTCAGGATAAGAAAACTCCATTATCTCCAAAGAAGAAATTTCTTTGCTAGGAATAAGAATAATACTAGCCTAGCTCTTACGTTTGTGAAAAGATCCAAATTCGTAGAGTTTTACAGCAGAGATTCTGTAGAGCCGGGTACTGTAGACTGATAAACTATTTAATCAGCTCATCCAAACGCTTGAGAAAATGATGATTGTTAAATGGTAAAAAAATCGGTCATATTAGGGTTCTGTCGAGGATCGACTCACATCTAATCACAATCCCTAATCTATCAAAACATTTAAAACGTTAGAACACAGTCTAAAAACATCATTGGAAAATCCGTAGGAAAAGTCCCCATCTTATTTACGTTTTGGAAATACCGTGAACACAGAGCCAACAACTGAGGGCGATGTTTACTTTTGCACTGAAATCAATCAATTTGAGTCGATAATCGACACACTGCTGTAGCGACATTTGGGCAAGGGTGCCGTCAGTGGGGGAGGGGATGCGTTGGGCCGTCAGGGCTAGGTCGGGGAGAAAAACACGCGTCACTTCGTCAGGGAGAAGAAAACATTATATAATACTTTTTACATATTAGTTGACTCTAAAATCGTTTAAATAAGGCTTAAACCCCTAAATCTTCACTTCCGCCCCCTGCATTAGGGCTACTTCCGAGAGACAACGCCCACTTACGTTCTGGTCGGGGAGTTCCCCCTCCGTTGGGAAAATCCTGACGCCACCCTTGCATTTCGTGTGGATCCAGCGGGGTATTTGTAACGAGACGATTTTGCAACGCTGGCGAGTGAAAAATCCCCACAGTATAAACCCAGTGTTATTATCCATGACGCTATCAGAGCTTTGCCATTACCATTGAGTTATACATTACTGAAATGAAGTTTATAGATATTGTTCAGGTTTTTGATGTAAGCTTTTTTAAACAATGGCAGTACATTGATAGGGAAGCTACATTGAAACAATCCCGGTTGGGGAAGCTCCCCAACCGGGTGAGGGGTGTGTTCCCCATCCCCGTAGCGCCGCCTGGCCGAACAGTCAGGAAGGGGGACTGCTAACTACAGTCTTAGCGGCGCCCATGGTTCGAGCTGCTCCACTCCCAGTATTCGACGGTGTACACATCCACGTGCACTTTAGAACCCATTGCATCGGAAGAGTAAGGTAGAGAGCTACCCCGATGCTATGATTCATTTCAGCACATGTCGTTGTGGAATCTTACCATAAGTTCCCCTTTACGGTGGCTAGGTAGTCACGGACCGACCATGGACCTATTAATAAGACCGACCATACACAATTCAGCACAATGACGCTGCGAGTTACGGTTTATTCCCCTACTGTACCTTTACTACGTTGTATATCATTGAAGAATATCATTGAAGTAAGTTATCACATTCGCTTGTTTATATACAAAAGGTTTTCGCTTCGCCTATGTCATTCTGTATCTCATGTCCAATTCAAACTGTTTTACTTATTTTCACACCAATACATTCAGAACTTGTGTCTCCATCATAAACTATGTACCTGGTCTGGATAATTACATTTCCACGAACAAATCCACGTTATAGTCTTTTTGCTGTTTGTACTACAGTATTTATTCCAGACACTTTAAAGATTGTTAAATTAATATTGGCCTAATGTTGCTGTGTGTAAATTTTTTTATCGTTTAGCCTACTTTTTCATTTTCTCGCCTAATGATATCACACAATTGTTTTCACAATAGGTACCCAAAAAAAAAATATTTTCATGTCATGTATACAAAGGTTTAAATGTCTACATAATGTTTGATTACGGTATTTTGAGTTCTTATGTCATGCTAGGCCTACAAAGTAATGCAAATACTTGAAAATAGCTCTAAACATCAACCATTAAACATACATATGGTTTGGCCTATTACAATACAATCAAATCACAGATCTTTGCATTGTTGTCTGCTATAATGAGTTATTTAGCACACGTATGGAGTAAGGTAAAAATAGTTGTGGTTCTACACGTCCAAATCTTACATAATATTTAAAAGTTCAGTGGGTGATATGTCGTTTATGATGGGACTGCTTTTTACGATCACGGTTCTACAGACATATCAATATGGAGACCATCCGCCAAAACAAGTTGCAGGCCAGGCCTTATTAAAACATAATTGCTGTTGATCGCCTTATCTCATTCCACTACTCCTGCCACCCACCACCACCAAAAAAAAAAACAAAAAAAATCAACATTATTGATTTTAATCGGATTAAATTAATTATCGTACCCTAGTAGGAGGCTCGTAGGCTTATTACTTTTCTTGTTATCACCAATTAATAGGCCTATTCCATGACCACTACCACTACTGTACACAATGACCTCGTGATGTTTGTGGTACAGTATATTGAAGAGAATGAATATTTTATATACCGTATTCATTCGAATAAACGCCACACTTTCAATAAGTGCCCTTCGAATAAACGACTCCTCCAGAGCCTCCTTGGAATAAACGCCTCCCTCTAATAAAATGCCCCGGGGCGTTTACTTTATCCTCGAATAAACGCCCCCTTACACATGACTGTAAACAAAAATTAAGAAGCAGCAACATTCTCAACAGTAAGTAATATGTATTGCTTTCCATGAAGTAATTACAAAGCAAGGACAAAACATGATTAAGAAGGTACAAAAAACAAAAACAGGATAAAAAAACATCATAAACGCACATCATCATTATAAAAATTAAACATGGAAAGCAGAGGATGACCCGTTAAGCCCGAAGTCTTGTTTCAGAAGGGGGTCCCCAAATAATAGTTATTATTGTAATTAAAGTAGAAAAGATAATAATAATAAACACAATAATAATAATAACAACAATAAGATACTATTAATGTCTCACTAATTAGAATTACTCTAATCTGGTTTGATCAACAAGCCTGTAATATATGATCATGCACAATAGATGGTAATTATGTGTTGTAGTTCCAAATTTTGAGTGAAAAAATAATAAACGCCTCCCTCGAAAGTTCCCTTAAAACCCGGGGCGTTTATTTAAATAAATACGGTATGTACGTATATACATGCATATAATGCATGCATTTTTAGGAGTTGAATAACTTCGTGGTTAAGATGCTTGCCCCCCCCCCCACCCCCAAATTACATAGTCCTGGGTTAAATTCCTGTACGGAAACTCATCATAAAATGAGCATTGTGTTTATGCTTTTCTTGAGAAGTTATTTGCCAATGATATTATTATATTATATTGCAGTTATTTCATTCATAAGATATTACTGTCCAAGGGAATTCCTTATACAGTCCACTAGGTTAATTTAACATTTTTGTAGTAGTAATTTGTAAAGATAAATGTGGTGTTCAATTTTATTGATGTGGGCCAAATGTATATTCATTGTTATGCTGACAACCTGGAATTGTAGAGTATCAGCGTGTTTATTGAAGCTTTATATACATATAGGAAAAAAATAGTGACAGGTATAAAGTGGGGATGTGCAGAGGGTGTCTGCCACTGTCACACGTCACCCCATAGTTACATGACCCTTGATCGACGAACCAATGACATTCTGTTCCACCACACGTGGGTGCTTTGTACACGTCACGTGTTCTGAAGTGTGTTCCATCCCATCCACATGTCTTGGAGCAAGCTGACCAATCACTCCACGAGGTCATAACACAATCTTGGATCTTGCACTCACAGCACTCTCCATTATATCCGGATGGACACTCACATTTGTCACTTCGGTAACTTAGAATTCCGTTGTTGTAACATTCTCGATTACACTCATTTCTCTCCATGAATTTAGAACATTCGGTTCCACCACACGTGGGTGCAATGTCCACATCACGAGTTCTGAATGTTGTTCCAAGTGGCCCACACGTGTGCGTGCACGCTGACCAATCGCTCCACGGGGTCATAACACAGTCTTGGATCTTACACTCACAGCACTCTCCGTTGTATCCGGCTGGACAGATACATTGGTCACTACTGTAGTCCAGAATTCCGTTGTAACATTCCCTATTACAATTCTCTGTCTCGGTTATGTTCTCGGAACACGGGGCTCCACCGCAAGTCGGTTGCTTGTTCACATTACGTGTCCTGAATCGCGTTCCTTGAGGACCACACGTCCGAGTACACGTTGACCATTCGCTCCACGGGGTCATTTCACAGTCCTGTATCTCACATTCGCAAAACTCTCCGCCGTAGCCACTTAGACAGATACATTCGTTGCTAACATTCGATAGAGTTCCCCCATAAAAACAATGAACATTACAAACCCTTTCTTCCATAGTTTGAGAACAGTTTTGCAAGTTACTCGGGCAAAAATTCTGTTTAATTCTAAATTGACTTCCTGGGCCACACACCTTAGAACAAGGCGTCCATTCACTCCACTCGGTGTTGATCTCACAGCATTGACCACTATATCCCTCGGCACAGGTACATGTCTTGGTTTCCTGGCTCAAATTTCCACCATTGTAACACTGGTCACACGGCTCTACGCTGATAATAAGAATGTCACAGTGATAGAAGATGCCACAAACTAAGCCAATTAGCAATAGGAAGCCTAGTAAAATTGGGGTAACTCCAATCCTTCTGGTTTTATCACCCATTTCGAAGCATGTGTTGTATTATCTTCTAAAGTGACGAATGAGGCATACAAACCCACGGAAATTCCTTAGGAAAGTCCCCATCTCATTACATATTTATTAGAATAATACGTCAGATCATTATGAAAACAAAGCCAACAACTGAGGGCGATGTACCGTGCTGTATACTTTGAGTAAAGTTACCCTGACACGCTGAAATCAATCGATGAATTGAAGGTGGTTGATGCACTGGGGCGGATCCGGGGCGGTCGGAGACACCCCCGAGTTTTAGAGTGAAATAATATCAAACCATTTTTTTTAGATATTCTCTAGTAATGCAAATGACCAAATGAAGTCAGGAGCGGTTTGGGGGGCGGCCCGGCCCCGCCTCCCCCCTCTTTTGGGAGGTAAAAAAAAAGGGAAAAAAGAGAGAAAAAGAAAAAATGATAGCCAAAAATGCATCAAATTTTATGTTCGGGCGTCTAGAACACAAAAATTTCGCAAGGGCATGCCCCGGACACCCTACGACAGTGTTGTCTCAATCGGCCCAACTTTCGGCCCCTTTCCGCCCCCCCCCCCTTTTGGACATTTCTGGATCCGCCCCTGGAAGTCAGTGCTTATACAGCGTCGTCTCACTCCAATAATTAAATAGTGTTCGATGCAGGAGTGATAAGTGAGGGTTTTCCCCCTCCCCTGACAGCAGCTACAATTACTTTTGGCCATGCATAGACATCAGAATGTCCAGGGTTCAGATTTAGGTTTGAGGAAACTCTTTTCACACTGACAGATACGTCCAGTGGGTGTGGCGGGGGAGGGGGGCACGAGGGTCCATTTCCCCTCCCCCACCCCGTCAGTAGGCCTACCACTGACAAAAAATGGTGAAAAGAATAGTAAGAAAGGGAAAAGGGAGAAAAAGGGGAAGTTCAGTGGCGAATCCAGAAGTGGGCGAAAGGGGCGCTTATTTTACCACTAACTTTGGAGTACTGAAGACGAACACAACGCTATATCCCCGACGCCGATCTAACGATTTAGGCCAAGAACTAAGCCATTTCAGCCATTATTACGGTATGGGCGTAGGCCCAACTACAACAGCTATCTATGTTGAAAATTCTGTCAAAAATTGGTATTTTTTCCCTTATAAGGCCTTAAATACATGTGAACCATGGTTGACCCGGGCCCTGCATGGGTACTCTGAGAAATCCCAGCACCTCCCAGCATAGAATAGATTGTAGGTCCTCAATAAGGCGGTGAGGGGAGGGGAGCATAACTCCCGTCGGGAAGAAACCAATATTTTTGTCAAGGAGCACTGGTTTGAAAAAGCATTCTTACAGTCTGAGTGCCATTTCCCGGCACCACAAGTGCCTATTCTTAAAACTTGTACTCCCAATTGTGCCCGACCCCCGCCAGAAGCATTCAAAATTTTAAAAAAGTCAAGGCGGTTAAGGTTTATTTCCATATTGTACAATACTTCAAATACTGAATGGAATTTTTCATTTTTTAGAATCACAACAGTACATCTTTAGAATTTGGCCTACTACATTTTTTATACTTTCATTCGTTAGAGTGTATCTCACATTGGCTTGTTTAATAGGTTTTAGCTGCGCCTACGCCATTCTGTATCTCATGTTCAATTCATATTGAGAGAGCTTAACTCAGTCGGCTAAACTGGTGGTAGCTAATGTTTGCAAATTGAACCGTGGAAATATCTTGGTCCCGATACAATTCCCGCTGAAATACAAGTTGTGATCGTACGCGCACCGTTTTTTGGATGAGAGGTTTAAGCACTTGGTTTCATGTGCATTTTATATGGCCGTTGCTAGGTCGTTTTCCGACACGTTTCACCGACAATAAATTCACCTACAGCCAATTCGCCGACAGACAATTCGTCGACAACCAATTCGCTGACAGCCAATTTGCCGACACTTTTTAGTTTCATAATTATGACGATATTTTGAAATATTATAGTTTGCCTACTGAAAAACAGACAGAATGGAAATTTCATTGACAGAACGAAAAATGTCTGCAACAAAAAAAAATGTGAACATCACAATGACTGACATATCATTTTCCGACACTTGCAGGACCGCTAAGCCAGATTCTATTGTAACATTCTCTTTTACACTCAATTCTGTCGGTGGATTTAGAACATTCGGTTCCACCACACGTCGCGTTCTGAATGCTATTCAATGTGGCCACACTACCTGTCTCTTATACACATCTAGATGTGTATAAGAGACAGATCTTACAGAGTGCATGCCTTACAGAAGAAGGGTACCTCGCACATTGCACTGTGGCTGGGATACGATCAATCCATTCCTGCTTATCCAACCACGGAGGTAACCTCTGGCCTTAATCAAACATGGTGTTGTTCGTTCGTCTTATCAATGATCGCTCAATCATAGTCCAGGAGAGTCGGATTTTTTTACTAGTTATCAGCTCAGTCTCAGCAGTTTCTAGGCATTTCTACGCAATCTGCATGATGTTTTGGAAATTAATATCTGTTATTGTGCTTGTCCTTGCTGTTGGTACTACTTTGTTGCTGAATGGCGCCTTCCATGAAGCCCCAGAAGCCCCTGCATACGGAGATGGCTGGTGGGGTAAGGGTGAGAAACCAACAACGCCGCCAGATGAGTCAATATCGCCATTTAAAATCAAGTTTGATGAGTCTGCACTCAGTGACTTGAAGTCAAGAATTAGGAATGCTCGATTTGCCGAAGGGTTGGAAGACAGCCAATTCCACTACGGAGTGAGACCGGAGTACATGAGAAAGGTTGCCAAATATTGGATGAATAGTTATAACTGGACTAAGAAGGAAAAGGAAATAAATAAATACGATCATTTCAAGACTAACATCGAGGGCATTGACGTTCATTTCATGCATATCAAACCTAATCTCCCGCCTGGACAGAAGGCGATACCATTAATGATGATTCATGGTTGGCCTGGTTCTTTTTACGAATTCATGAAGATTGCACCGATGATGACTGACCCTTTGGCTCATGGTGGCCCGTCTGATGATGCTTTTGAATTAGTTTGCCCATCAATACCCGGCTACACCTTTTCAGAAGGGTCTCACAAAAAGGGCCTCAATGCATTAGCAGTTGCAAGGATATTCGACAAATTGATGAAACGACTTGGATTCAATCAGTATTACATTCAAGGTGGAGATTGGGGGGCATATATAGTTACTAAAATGGCTCTTATATCCCCAACTTCTATCTTGGGTTTGCATGCTAATATGGCAGTAACACGTGTCCCTTTTCAACCCCTTCTCCTAGCAATTGGCAGTTACTTTCCAAGTCTCATACTGAGCTCAAAGGAAGATCAAGATAAGGTGTTTCCAGCTGGTGACCATTTTTTTGACTTTTTACTTGAAACTGGTTACATGCACATACAAGCAACAAAACCCGATACTTTGGGCCATGCTCTTAACGATTCCCCGATTGGACTGGCAGCCTACATCTTGGAAAAATTTTCTACTTGGACAAACCGTAAAGGACGCGATGCGGATGATGGTTGCATTGAAGAGAATTGGACGTTAGATGAAATTTTGACAAATGTTATGCTATATTGGATGACGAATTCTATTACAACATCGATGAGATTTTACAAGGAAAATATTGCAGGGGCCTTCCAAGAACCATTATATGAAATAACGGTACCATCAGCTTTTGCCGATTTTCCGATGGAATTACGTCATGTGCCAGAACCGTGGACTCGTAAACAGTTTACTGATCTGGTGCAGTATACTACTATGCCACGTGGAGGTCACTTTGCAGCGTTTGAGGTTCCGCAGTTACTTGCAAAAGACATTCGTAAATTCGTTAAGGCTGTAGAAGCTAGAAGAAAAAAATCTTAGTTTTAATTTTGATGAGTTTGTCACATGTTCCTTTAGTTGGCTGAAATTTGATGATTAGTTTATTTTAATGTACTGTGTTGTGACAATGTCCGATTTAACTGGTCGTTCTTTGTTAAACCGCGCCTCCCTGCGCAGTGGTAAAATCGACCAACCGAATAAAAAACTGGTAAATACTCGACAAAAAGTGGCTGCGTAGTTACCGTGATGCCCACTAGCGTAATCAAGGTTTGGTTCGGCTTGAGGCAGTATGGGTTTTCGTCAAAAAAAAAATTTAAAAAAAAAATTCATGCAGTTTTTGAATTCTGTTAGCTTACTATTATTTGTATTACTTATTTTTAGGTAAATGTTATAATTAGGCCTATTATTTTCTGAAATTTAATCTAAATTATATAACGCAAATTTTGTTAACATTTTAGAGTGATTAAACAAACTATTTTATACAAATGTTCTCTAGTAAGCCTATTAATACAAATGGAAAATAAAGTTAGTGCTCACAGAGTTGGCTCACTCTGAGTTAAATAGTGTTGGATGCAGAAGCGATGAAAGAATAATAATAATCTTTGATTACACACACTTTTTTTTATCAGTAGTGGCACTCGCGATAACTGTGTTGCATTCAAAATCATATACACTCAATACGATAAAAAAAAAAAAACACACACACACACACATTGAAATACAGACGAAGAATACAGTAAAAGAGACCAGTAAAAGTGCACGCTTCACATTAAAATACGATAACTTACATTAAAATAGTAGACCCTAAAACATTAAAATAGAATACAAGATAACAAAAGAGACATACATTCATTACAATCTATTTAAAACATTCATAAATTTCCTTATAATATAAAATAATTTAATAATATATTTATAAGAGTTAAAGTTCATCATTCACGTTTGATAAACTTTAGTTGTTTTCAATGCTATTTAGGATGTCTTACAGGAAATAATTATTGAAACAGCTGTTTCAGAATAGATAAGTGAGAGTACATGACATGGATATGCATTTAAATTTTTAAAATTTATGGCAAAACGGGGGGGGGGGGACGCACACGTGTTTCCCCTCCCCCACTGGATCCGCGCCTGATTTTGAATTACCTCCAGATGCTGCCATACAGTTCGACATAACATCGTCTACAAAGAATAAAGAAACCCATTTTATTTATACAGTATGTACCCCCATTGCTGTGAACGGAGAATATTTGCCAGCTCATTGTTGTATATAGAAAAAAAAGGCTCCCAGCGCGAGCGTGTGTCTACTGCTTGACATTTTTTTTAAAACTATGTACATGTAAACATACAATGAAATAGTATCGGCTCGATGAACGCAATATAAATAACTTAAATAACATGAATAACAACTATACAGTGAGAAATACATAGGCCTACCATTTTTTTTCCCCGACGAATTGTTTTTTTTTTTCTTTTTTAAAGGGGAAAACTGGGGGCAAGAATATTATCTCTTGTCAGAGATATTGAACACAGCGTCGGGCAAATCCTGGCGCCACCACTCATAATTGGTAGGCCCTAGCCTACTGGGTGGACGACCTCAGTGTGACCGTTGATGCGAATCAAATTATACCAAGGGCTGATGGGAAATTATGCTAAATTATGCCGAATGTTAAATTTAATGGTTACCTAAATAAGCGCCCCCTCCCCCGCCTAAAATGAAAGAAACACTATTCTCAATATTATTATGCCCAGTGGTGTCACAAACCCAAGCGAATACACTTAAGTTTTAAGGAAATGATGAATTGAATCGGTCATAATTTAGTCGACCTTGGATAATAAGCTACATACACAATCTTACAGAGTGCATGCCTTACAGAAGAGTACCTCGCACATTGCACAGTGGCTGGGATACGACCAATTCATTCCTGCTTATCCAACCACGGAGGTAACCTCTGGCCTTAATCAAACATTGGTGTTGTTCGTTCGCTTTATCAATGATCGCTCAATCATAGTCCAGGAGAGTCGGATTTCTCTACTAGTTGTGAGCTCAGTCTCAGCAGTTGAAGGCAACCGTGTGTATAGAGGCATTTCTACTCAATCTGCATGATGTTTTGGAAATTAATATCTGTCATTGTGCTTGTCCTTGCTGTTGGTACTACTTTGTTGCTGAATGGCGCCTTTCATGAATCCCCAGAAGCCCCTGCATACGGAGATGGCTGGTGGGGTAAGGGCGAGAAACCAACAACGCCGCCAGATGAGTCAATATCGCCATTTAAAATCAAGTTTGATGGGTCTGCACTCAGTGACTTGAAGTCAAGAATTAGGAATGCTCGATTTGCCGAAGGGTTGGAAGACAGCCAATTCCACTACGGAGTGAGACCGGAGTACATGAGAAAGGTTGCAAAATATTGGATGAATAGTTATAACTGGACTAAGAAGGAAAAGGAAATAAATAAATACGATCATTTCAAGACTAACATCGAGGGCATTGACGTTCATTTCATGCATATCAAACCTAATCTTCCGCCTGGACAGAAGGCGATACCATTAATGATGATTCATGGTTGGCCTGGTTCTTTTTACGAATTCATGAAGATTGCACCGATGATGACTGACCCTTTGGCTCATGGTGGCCCGTCTGATGATGCTTTTGAATTAGTTTGCCCATCAATACCTGGCTACACCTTTTCAGAAGGGTCTCACAAAAAGGGTCTCAATGCATTAGCAGTTGCAAGGATATTCGACAAATTGATGAAACGACTTGGATTCAATCAGTATTACATTCAAGGTGGAGATTGGGGGGCATATATAGTTACTAAAATGGCCCTAATATCCCCAACTTCTATCTTGGGTTTGCATACTAATATGGCAGTAACACGTGTCCCTTTTCAACCCCTTCTCCTAGCAATTGGCAGTTACTTTCCAAGTCTCATACTGAGCTCAAAGGAAGATCAAGATAAGGTGTTTCCAGCTGGTGAACATTTTTTTGACCTTTTACTTGAAACTGGTTACATGCACATACAAGCAACAAAACCCGATACTTTGGGCCATGCTCTTAACGATTCCCCGATTGGACTGGCAGCCTACATCTTGGAAAAATTTTCTACTTGGACAAACCGTAAAGGAAGTGATGCGGATGATGGTTGCATTGAAGAGAATTGGACGTTAGATGAAATTTTGACAAATGTTATGCTATATTGGATGACAAATTCCATTACAACATCGATGAGATTTTACAAGGAAAATATTGCAGGGGCCTACCAAGAACCATTATATGAAATAACGGTACCATCAGCTATTGCCGATTTTCCGATGGAATTTGCTCGTGTGCCAGAACCGTGGACTCGTAAACAGTTTACTGATCTGGTGCAGTATACTACTATGCCACGTGGAGGTCACTTTGCAGCGTTTGAGGTTCCGCAGTTACTTGCAAAAGACATTCGTAAATTCGTTACGGCTGTAGAAGCTAGAAAACAATAATCTTAGTTTTAATTTTGATGAGTTTGTCACGACATGTTCCTTTAGTTGGCTGAAATTTGATGATTAGTTTATTTTAATGTACTGTGTCGTGACAATGTCCGATTTAACTGGTCGTTCTTTGTTAAACCGCGCCTCCCTGAGCAGTGGTAAAATCGACCAGCCGAATAAAAAACTGGTAGATACTCGACAAAAAATGGCTGCGTAGTTACCGTGATGCACACTAGCGTAATCAAGGTTTGGTTCGGCTTGAGGCAGTATGGGTTTTCGTCAAAAAAAAAAAAAAAATTCATGCAGTTTTTGAATTCTGTTAGCTTACAATTATTTGTATTACTTATTTTTAGGTAAATGTTATAATTAGGCCTATTATTTTCTGAAATTTAATCTAAATTATATAACGCAAATTTTGTTAACATTTTAGAGTGATTAAACAAACTATTTTATACAAATGTTCTCTAGTAAGCCTATTAATACAAATGGAAAATAAAGTTAGTGCTCACAAAGTTGGCTCACTCTGAGTTAAATAGTGTTGGATGCAGAAGCGATGAAAGAAGGGCTGCCCTCTCCCCTGACAGCAGCAACAATTCTTTTTGGGCCGTGCATAGGCATCATGTCTCGGGTCGGATCCCGGTCAGCGGTGTAGCTAGGAAAGATCGGGCCCCAGTGCATTTATTATTACAGGCCCTTTGATGTGAAGCGTCACCGGGGACCGTAGGACTGAGTTATGGGTTGGGGGGGGGGGGGCGGAAGGTTGTTTGGAGCAGTCAATCCTACGGTTAGGTAGGCAATCACCAAAAGCTTCAACGTTTTAAATGTTCAGGAGTCGTATTTTTAAATTAGAAAATGACAATTCAAGGACTGGTACTAATAATAATCTTTGATTACACACACTTTTTTTTTTATCAGTAGTGGCACTCGCGATAACTGTGTTGCATTCAAAATCATATCACTCAATACGATAAAAGAAAAAAAAACACATTGAAATACAGTAGAATACAGTAAAAGAGACCAGTAAAAGTGCACGCTTCACATTAAAATATGATAACCTACATTAAAATAGTAGACCCTAAAATATTAAAATAGAATACAAGACAACAAAAGAGACATACATTCATTACAATCTATTTAAAACATATATAAATTTCCTTATAATATAAAATAATTTAATAATATATTTATAAGAGTTAAAGGAAGGAAAAATGTTAGGGGGAAATATGCTGGGGTGGCCCAAGGTGGGCGTTGTCGGGCGTCGCTCAAAATGTCTTGAAAGTGGTCCAGGGGGCGAATGCCCCATAAAATATGACAATTTAGGAGTTTCAGGCGCTTATTCATTCGATTTTACAGATAGATACGGTAATCACTAAATATGTAGAAAATACATACCATTTTTTTCCCCCGACGAATTGTTTTTTTTTTTTTTTTTAAAGGGGAAAACTGGGGTGGGGGGAAAGAATATTATCTGGGGATTCTCCCTCCCCCCCCCCACTGGTGCCGCCACTGGTCACAAGGACTAATTTAAAAAGATTTTAGGCGACGCCCGACCACGCGCACTTTGCTCTTGTCGGAGATATTGAACACAGCGTCGGGCAAATCCTGGCGCCACCACTCATAATGGTAGGCCCTAGCCTACTGGGTAGACGACCTCAGTGTGACCGTTGATGCGAATCAAATTATACCAAGGTCTGATGAGGAAATTATGCTAAATTATGCCGAATGTTAAATTTAATGGTTACCTAAATAAGCGCCTAAAATGAAAGAAACACTATTCTCAATACTGTATTATTATGCCCAGTGGTGTCACAAGAGGCAATGCCTGATGTCCCCAACCGGGACGGGTGGAGGAATTGGGGATGGCCAATATATAAATATAGGCACACACACATACACACACACACACACACACATATAT